AGTATTTAAGTTTTTTAATTATTATTTCTAATATTTAAATTGTTAAAATATCTTAATTTTCTATAATCTCCCTTTTTTTATATATATATTTAATGTAAATATATCTATTCTTTGGATTAGTTTAAATTTCAAACTACAAACTATTAACCACAAATTTCTATATACTAAACACATCCTTAGAACTTAACAATAACTTTTTTTTTTTTTGGGCTTATGTTAGCTAAATTATAAAAATTCCAGTTAAAGTAAAAAGAAAATATGAGTAGTGGTAAATTAATACTACCTATTTCTATTAACTGTGAGTATTTTCATACATAAATTGAATATAATTTATATTTATTACTTAGTTTAAAAATTTATAGATATAAAGTCACGGATGAGTATTAAATAAGTAAAATAATTATCCCCTAAGTTACTCTAAAGAAAAGGTCCCAAGTAAACGACTACCCTCTTTTTTGCTTTTTGAAATCTTGATGGCTCAAGTTATTTTTCGAAGACTTGGAAGTTTTTTTTTTTTTTTTTTGAACAGTGTGAAACTTTTTCCGAAGAAGGAAGAAAAGGGATCTGGGATTTGATCCCAAATTTCGCTAGTTCTACGCACGTTCCACAAGAAGTGATCAATAAGTCACCAAGTGCGGGATGACTTGCAAGTCTTTTTGGTCTTAAGTCTACTTAATTAATTAATGCCACGCATTCTAGATTGCGAATCACGCATGCAGTAGGGTTGGTTAACTTTATTTCTTCCTTTCACAAATCTTTTGCCCCACCATGTACAATACTGCAGCTTTTACGGTTCTTAATTGTGCTACTGTTGTGCAACGTGAAGACTAGAAAATCACATCTTTGCCCCAAAATACAAGTTTCAAAGGTCTTGTGCTGCTATTATGCAACGTAGAGATGGGGATCTTGGGAAATAACTGTCAAATCTTGGAGCAACCTGTAGTGGTGTCAAATCTTGGAGCAACCTGTAGTGGTGGTAGACAGAGGTTGTGAGATATCAGAGGTATGACGCCAGTCGGAGGTCATGAGATGAGGCACGAAGTGCAGTCTGAAGTCACACACTTCACAGCTATCCGTTGTGCACAACTTCAAACAGTCGGAGCAACCTCCAATATCTAGCTACCTTGATCTGATTGAAGGGCGGCGAGCTCGGTCGCATTCAAGCTTGTCCCCTCCGCTCCCACTCCACAATAGTTCCGTACACACACAAGTTCCTCATGAGAAGCACCTGCGATGTTTGACACCTGTTGCTTTGATTTCTCGGAATGATCAACACGTGGACACCCCCTTGAAGGCCTATAAATATCCCCCCAGGGTCCACCTCAAAGAGGTATTGGAAACCGACCTCAAGCCTAGCTTTTATTCTCATTCCATAACTGGTAGCTCTAATTATTGCTGACTTAAGTATCGGAGTGTCTACCCCGAAAACCAACCTCGGGACTCTGCAGGATAGCCAAAGTGGAGACTTGAGATCCGGAGTACCGCCCAGTTCTTTGCAACTACACAACCTAAACTTTTTTGGCCATTGAAAAATCTGTTCATTAAAATAAACTCAAAGGGGTGAGTTACACAATATGTCTGAA